ATGGTTGATGATATGTGTTGAGAATTTAACACATAACGCGCTCTTTTTAGGACTTTTTAGTTACAATAATTTCTTTTCATTCCCAATTCGAGTCCTTTTCATTTATTTCTTTATACTTTTGTTCTTATGAAGCTAAATGTTGTGGTTGACTTGATGGCATGCAAAATTGAAGCTAATTGAGAGTTTTTGTGAAAACAGCAAATGCTACAGCATTGGTGCAGCGTTGACCTGAGTCTTACACGACTTTTTGGAGGGCTTAATGAACAAGACGTTGGCTTTTTGAAGGTGGAATACAGCTGTAAAAGGACTGGATTTTTAGTAGAAAATCAGTTGTACTCTTTAGTTAAGCTTATGTACTCTTTAGTTAGGCTATTGTACTTTCTAGTTGAACTTTGATTAAGGAATTGTACTTTTTAGTTAAGCTTTTGTTGTATTGTAACTAGTGTTGGTAAACTTAGCATCCAAGCTTAGTTCTTTTGTCTTTTAGTGTCCATTTTGAGTATAAATAGGAGGCTAGGGTTGCCATATTTCATACACTTTTAAATCCATCATCCATTGGATTCTCTCTAATCTTTCTTCTCTTTTCTCCCAACTTTTCTTTCTTTTCTTTTAAACCCTCTCCTAGGGTGTTTTTCAAGTTCTTTAAGATTTCAAGTTCATCTTCTTCTTTATTTACTTTATTGTCATTCATTTTCCGCTATTTACATTTTCGTCATTTACATTCCGTTATTTATTTTTTCGTCATTTACAGTCCGTCATTTATTTTCTGCAATTTACATTCTCGTCATTTACATTCCCGTCATTTACTTTATTGTCATTTACNCTTTATAAGTTAATGATCTAATGGTCTAAAGTTGTACGGTGACAATTTTGTGATTATTGAGAAGTCTCGTGGCAATTTTGTGATTATGAATGTTCAGAATGTAGATCTAATCCAAAAATTGAGAATTGGTTTTACAGGTCTCACGAAAAACCCTTGGTCTCACGTAATACCAAGTCTCTCTCTCTCTCTCTCTCTCTCTCTCTCTCTATATATATATATATATATAACTTTATATAATTATACATACATATATGTATATTATTTCATACAGGGTCATGGATAACGAAAAACTGTTTATCCATACCCTACCCACTAAAAGTTCTGGTAAACGGTTAATAAGTAAGTGGATAAATGGATAAAGTTTTCCTTACTCATATCCTTATCCAACATGTCGAAACATAAAGGATAACGAGTTTACTTTTACCCATTGCCAGCCTTCCTCGTCACTCCACTGGCATACACAAACAACGCCCCAGTAGATACCTATTGCTTATGCCAAAAATTAATTTGTAAAAATAATTTAAGATCGATGTGGAACTTTAACAATTAAAGATCGTATCCATCGAGAAACACGCGAAAAATATAATAAAATCTTAGACTCAAGAATTTGGTGATGCGAAAAACCCCTATTGAGAGTAAAAACCGCGGACGACACTCAAGATCGTCAATTCACCAATGAGTCAAACAAGGAATCGTCCTTTGCATGACAATTGTTGAAAATACGATGGCTACAATATGATTGTAAAAAGAATATTGTGAGTTTGTTTAAGAGCTCTGAGAGTACTTTTAGTGAACTTCAAGGTGAGCTTTGTTTATATAGGAATTGTCTTCATAAATGTGTCTTTATGAGCCTTGATATGAGCAAAGGTCTTCGTCTTTATTGGTCTTAAGTGTTTGCTTTAGGTTATGTCTGTTACTATTAAATATGGGAAGATGTGAATTAGAAACTGTGGGACGTTGTTTGTCGTTACTTAATGGAGACCAATAGTATGAATATCTGTAGTCGTATGTTTTGTCGTACAATTATTGTCAATAGCGACGATCGATAGTCTCAACGTATTTGGTCGACAATTTTTATTGATGATGTATACTCGGTCATTTGTTTCTAACACCAGTCATGACTTCGAGAATTTTTACCCAAACACCTACCAATTCTAACACCAGTCGTGACTTTGAGAATTTTTACACTATAATCAATTCGACATAATGAAACCTTTTAAATAAAATAAAAATTAGTACTACAATTCATGACCGAAATAGTTTTACGGTTTCATCAATACACTAATCAACGTAATCCCTGATGAGACATTTGTCATTTTCATGTTATTGGTAGATAGATCCGTTTCATTGTAATGATGAAATTGTTTCACTGTTTGCTTATTACACAGCATTTTCTTAGCAATTATGAAATGGTTTCACTTTCGTTATGCACCCATTTCTTCAGCCAATTTCTTCCAATACAAACACGTTTCATATAGTCAATGCATTTACCATTACATGTTTTGTTAACCATTTAGTGAATACATTTCATAGAGTCAGTGTGTACCTTCAAATATAACCAATCTGCATACGTTTTCTAAAACAAGATCCTCAATGAACGTTTTCATGAACAAATCTAACATGAATCTGTTTCACAGATGATTATATTTTTACCGGTTCATGAATCTTTGTTTAGATCTGTTACTGATTTCGTTGATTAATGAATTTAATAATTTTCGATTTTCATATTGTTACCACTAATAAACCGAGAAACCAAATAACAATAAATTCTAATTTAAAAAAACATTTAAATATTACCTTTTTTTAAAATTTTCTTTATTATGTTATCTTAGTTAAGATCTCTTAATAACTTCCTTATTTAATCGAAAATAATGTAAATGTCAATTCTACCCTTAATGATTAAATTTAATTAAGAAAAAAAAAATTCTATTGGTCGAAATTAGTTTACACGGTTTCTAAGAATTAGACAGTTTTCATTTGATCCATATATATATATATATATATATATATATATA